GGGTTAGGCCCAGAGGATTGGCCTAGATATCGTGGCCCTTCCTCGTGGCGCCAAGTTTTCATTTGGATTGCGGCCACACGTGTTGTTTCAGCACATGGGAAACGAACTGCAGCTGGCCTCGATCACATGAGGCATGTGTTCTAAGCCCGATCATTTCCATTCGGGTGCTTGAACACCTAGGGCGGCTGATGAGTTTCCCCACATAAAGTTGGCCCGACGTCAGGGGGCCCGGGAATCTGGGCTAGAGAGGATTGGCCTAGATATAGTGGCCCTTCCTCACCTGGCGAGGCCAGACATGTATATGAACAGACAATGTAATCGCGATGATCATGATCAGTATTGTTAGTCAGCATATGCATGGGAAGCAAACTGCAGCTGGCCTCGATCACATGAGGCATGTGTTCTAAGCCCGATATCTTTCATTCGGGTGCTTGAACACCTAGGGCGGCTGATGAGTTTCCCCACAAAAACATGGCCCGACGTCAGGGGGCCCGGGAATCTGGGCTAAAGAGGATTGGCCTAGATATAATGGTCCTTCCTCACCTGGCGAGGCCGTACATGTACGACACCATATATGTACATGTATGTATATGTATATACACGACGTCGACATCGCATGCCTCAACTATATTCCCAAAGGCTCCATGTGCCCATATAGTAGGTACTTAGCCCTTAATTTATAAAGTACCTATATATAGGGACCCCTTTAAGGCCTAAGTACCTACTATATGGGCACATGGAGCCTTTGGGATTAGCTGCGACGAAATATGGCACATGAGCGATGGAATAAGCGCGAAGACATACAAGATGAAATAATGGCTTGTAGTATATAAAACTAGCCGCCTACGCCTTCCGTGGCCCCAGTGGCCAGCACAGACAGAAGCGATTGTAACCGACTTTTTGGCCACCCGCCGCTCCGTGTCGCAGCTTTCCAGTTGCAAGCTTAAGCGCTCGAATTTGAGCAGATCTGCAACAAGCTAGCCCAGTACTTTTAAGGTCTAGGCATATAGTCTATGCATGCGCACATATCTGAATCCCTCACCACACGCCCGGAAGGCTAGCCAGCACCAGCTCCTTTAATTAGAGAATCCTCGCGACCGCTGCCCTGCATCACGGCTCTGCCGATGAGTTCGAGCTCATCGTGGCCTGCAACCTTGGCTACTAAAGGAGTTTGGGGATTTCCAGATATAGCGGGGCGGGGTCTAGCTAACACTTTAAGCCGGAGTTCCTTAAAGTACGATTAAAGGAAAACGATGCCCATGGCTATATATAGCATAGTAGTCGGTAGCTAATATCGGGAATTCAATATGCCCATCAATAGTCCATTTTAATTAAAACCCTGACGGTAAGTATTATTGCGCCTCGCGATATGATAGATAGTTCTTTCGAGGATAGTCCTTTCTGAGGGTGATATTCTCGACTACCTAGGCCTATACAGCTTATGATCCCCTGCATATCGATAGATCCCCACCATATTCTAGCAGATGTGATTTCCCTCTTAAAGCCCGCCCCTTAAATTATCCCTACCCAACCCCTGTAGCCAACTTTAAAATGCACCATTAGCGACTGGTTGCAACGGATCGGGTGTTGCAAATTTCATGTGTTCGTGATATACTGTTGCAATCCTACAGGCTCGGGTTATCTGGATATCAAGCCCTGTCTGCAAGAGTTTGGGGCTTCGGTATGGATATATACATACGGGCTTGATTTGGGGATCAAGCTACAAAGCATTTCGGGCCTCGGCTTCGAGATATGGCAATGTACTTATTTTTGTTATTCGGGAGATCTAGATCAGCGGGTTCCGGAGTCGGGTTCATTCGGCCTAACATATAGGGTTAATACAAACTATCGATAATAATTAGAAAATATCTTTTTTTATCTAAGGGTGCTATATATTGCATTCGCAATAGGCCAAGCCGCCATACGTAAAATCTGCTGAGCGTGCTCCTCTCCAGGGAACGAGCATGCACTCGCTCGGCGATGCCTCACATCCCAATTATATCAGCTTTATAAGTATCGTTGCTTGCACGGTGCTCGATCTATGCTACATTGAAATTAATATAGTATATACCGATCCAGGTCCCCATGATTTGTTACAATGAGCTTCTAGCCACAGCGATACTACACTAGTTCATTGTCTAATCGAAGTGAAAATGCAATAAGAGGATAAGCCTTCCCTAAACCCTAAACCCCAAGCCCTAAACCTTAAGCCTTCAACCCTAAGCCCCAACCCCTAAACCCTAAGCTTTAAACCCTAAATAGCATAAAAGGTAGAAGGCTTTTTTAGGGATCCACCGCAAAAATCTAGACCGGTGAATGTGCACATAACCTGACCAGGTCTCTCACTTGACATGCGGTCTAGGAGCTGATGATATGGCCATTGCAATCTTCTGCCCCGAAGGTGTGGTACATTCTGTAGTTGTACCCTGCGGGGAGTTCGAGACATACAAGGCCCGAAGTTTAATATTACCTTGTAATATATAACTCCCCTGACCTAAACCCCAAATATATTCTGCGATGTATAGCCAAGGATCTTTCTCTTGTGCAAATCGAAATCATCTCCATCGTGCCCTCGGTAGATCCCAAGGGTAGGTGCACCGTTTTAATAATTAGCCTCTATAAAACTTCACAACAAACTTGAACCTTAAGCCCTATATATACTCCGAAAACAAAATAGCGAGATACATTATAGCCCGGGATTCGTGCAGCTTTGGCCGTACCGGATAGTACGTCTTCGCTGCCCCCAGCCATTCTGCAGCCAGCAGCCCATAGGCATTCATAGCGGCATCCTCGGCTTGGGTTTATGTGCTTATGTTTAGGTGGAAGGTGTAGGGTTTATTTTGGGTTGTTCGGTTTGTGGGGGTCGGAGGGCTTTTTGGTTTGTGCATACGTTCGTGTTGAAGGTGTAGGGTTTCCCAAAGGCTCCATGTACCCTTATAGTAGATACTTATTAATTAAGGTCCCTATGTAGGTACTTTAAGGCCTAAGTATCTACTATGAGGGTACATGGAGCCTTTGGGTTTATAGGGTCTTTCGATTTAGGGTTTGCAACTTAGGAACTTGGGATTGGTTCTGAAGCTTATCAAGCCCCCAACTCCTAAGTTTTAAAGTAGCACGAGATAAAACCTAAAAGCGCCCACATGCGGCACTATTTAATCCAAAGTGCTGATGATCTATACTTAACTTATCCCTAGAACACTGTGCTTTAAAGCATATAGATTAGAGCTGCATTTGGGCCAATTGATTTTATCGCCCTGCTGCGGTGATACGACATCCCCAAGAGTGTACTTGTCGAGCAGCACAGCTGCTTCGCATCCGATTTGCCTGCTGCTCTGTGATGTATCGCGGTGATGTCTCTGAGCAGTTGCAGATGTCTGCGAAGTAGTACCTCGACGGTATATCGTATGACTTGTCATTTATGCTCCATTGCAAAAGCATAAAGCAAACAAGCAGCTGGCATTGCGCCATTCTTCTGATTGTGCGGTCGTTGCAATATTCGTCCTTCTCGAGCAGGGTCACCAGCAGATGTGCCAGCCAACTCGTGATGCATCGGGCCTTTGATGCTTCAGGGAGATTATTTTAATTACTATTGGCTTTAAAAACATAGTCTACTGTACTACTAGATACCGAAGCTACATATGCGAACATAATATGACAATATTATTATCCCAAAGGCTCCATGTGCCCATATAGTAGGTACTTAGGCATTAAAGGGGTCCCTATATAGCTTTACGGGCTAAGTACCTACTATATGGGCACATGGAGCCTTTGGGTATTAATTAGAACCCTATACATATCCCCCTGGGTCTTGGTAGGGATTAGGGTTGAGCAGTTCAGGGGTTTAGGGAATTTGGATTCGGTTCCTAATTAATTGTATCATAGACGTAGACTGGCGGTGCTTTATATTCAAGGGCCTAGGGATTGGATTCGGAGTGTCCGTTTAAAGGAATCGTTTAAGTTCAGGGCTAGCTAGTTTAGGGATTTACTGGTTCCCGTCAAGCGACATTGTAGGCCTTCACAGCAAGCTCCGGTACATTGTTTTTCACTCGAAAGATTGTTGGGCAGAACCGCGGTTGGCTATGCCTCGGCTTCAGCTTTGCAGGTTTCATAATCAGTACACCTATTTTTGTTTTAATAAGCTTCGGTACACCCCACGGGTACAATGCTGTTTTATACAGTGGTCTGATCGATCTACAGGATACGGGGAACATACAGGGGGAGCTGGGACATAATTGATATGTGCAAGCATTCGTACACAATGCCACGTTCGCGACAGAACGTGCTGAAATCCACATAGGCATTGTGCAGCTGGTCCTTCAGCGCACCGTTGCCCCAGATTCCCTGCAACCAGGCGGCACTTTGCAATTGGGTGGTCGGGTATATATTAATCGAGACATCGATCCAAGCTTAGGTGAGATCTATTTTTTGGGTGTTATTAGAGCAAACATCTAGATGGCCTTCTCGCAAAGGTGCTGTAAAGCAGCTGCTCCAGTCCAAATCAACGGCCCCAGGTTCAGGGTGTGTAGCGAGCACCAGCGAAGCATCAGGACCGACAGTCCTTTCAGATGAAGTAGCACACCTCGGAAATCCAAAGCTCTCTCACGATCATAGGATATGATTGTAAAGGTATGATGTATGATATTTGGGTGTAGATCCGTTTCGATACGTATTTGTATCATGCTTTCGAGTGGCTCTTCTGACCTTGGCGGTCTGGGGTACATATCTGTCGTAGTTGATCCATGGTGGTTCTCCGGGGCTTCGATTCAAGCACGTGGAGTAGGGGGCGCTTGAAGTAGGTCTCCTGTTGCTCGCAGCAGTGGTGGCACACCGATCCACAGCTGTACCCGACGTTCAACATCATCAGCTCATCCTTAATCGAAGTTTACAATCCCCCTAGTTGCCCGATATCTTTCTATGCACGCCAACAATGGTGAATATTGAAGCTGCAACAATACAATACAACATTGCATGATTGCAAAATAATATAATAGATATCGCATCTAGGAGGCCTTGTAGAACTTCCAGTCTCCCCGGATTTCAGTCACAGCTGCTACAAGTGGGAGGCCATCGGTAGCATCCATCAGGGGCTCTTCAGACAGGTCGGAACGATCAACTGGGCCGAAGGATCCGCATTTGCCCGCTCCATCGATGATCGGGAACCGCGGGTGGAAACCATAAAACAGGTAGTTCAAAGAAGCCACCACCTCGGGGAGGGTATCAAATGACCCTGCAAAATCCCAGCTCGGCCACATTACCGAAACACAAATCGTGAACCCAACTGATGCTGTTCTGCAGCTGCGGTGGCTGGCTTCAAAAAAGCCTGCAAAGTCTCGAAGCCCACGGAAAGCGAGCAGCGAATGATGAAGAGAGGTAAATGCACACACATAGAGTTCTTTCTCGAGTCCAGGCAAAACCCACAATACACCACCGTGAGTTTCTCGTTCTGACTAAACCGAGCATCATCCCCATAGAGGAAAAGGGGATGATGCCGGTTCGTTCCCGGATGATCTCGAGCCCATTCCGTATGTTCCCTCATGTGAGTCCAGTAAGCAGCAGTCTCGTGTGTGAGCTGCTGCAGGTCAAGGTGTTGGTGGGCTAGGACGTGTGGAATAATCTCGTGCGGCAAAACTACCGGGAGCTTCCTCGGATCGATGTTGCAATAGGTTCCCAAAGTACCTAATTATCGACGAGATGTTACTTCTTTTTGTGTAAGTACCTATGAAAACATGATGTGCAATAACATTCCTTAAGTCTGATGCAGTGTAGCTAAGGATAAAATGTATTCCATAGGTGTGGTCTACTTGGCCTGTCTAGGCTCTATAATAAGGATTTATGTGAACATATCGTGCAAGCGAGTTGCTTTTCCACTCTGTCTCGGTCCACCATGCTCTTGAGCATGGGAACTTTCACCCATCGTAGTGGCACCTTGGATCGTAGCACCCCCGTCCTCTAGATCTGATAATTAGCTTCATCCTGCGACAAGCTTTGCACATTCCCATGATCTAAATTCGTACGCACTCAACCATATATAATGACTCCCAAATGCCCCTCCATACCTCATGAACCCGTAAATAAAAACCCCGGTACCCTAAGCGAAACCCTGGCGCCTATTCCCGCTAATTCTTCAGTCCACATCACCCCTTCATTCCCGGGCCCACATCTTGAACGAGACATGTCTCTGCACATTACATCGAATCCGAGGCCTGAAGCCCCGCCAAACCCAAGCCTATGTGTAAAGTGCTAGTGCATGTTGACATTTTACATGATGGTAAACACACAAAGAACTGTTTGGGTACATACTACAGATCTAAACCTAGCCAAGAAACCAAGTCCAGGACCCCATTCAGGGCTCTCATGCAGTCTCGCTCGATATTCTGTTTGTGATAGCCACCTGCTCCTGCCTGGCGGATTCGCTCCGCTTGCACTCCCAGCGTCTGCCCATGCATACGGAGCTCCTGCACATGCACAGTGCACATGTGCATATGTAAGCAGGAGTGTGTGCACATGCATATGACATGGGATGTGCACATACACATGTGCATACGATGATCATGCCGACGATTCTACATGCAGTGTCCTCGTGCGATTGCTGGAGCATCTCCCGGGCAGCTGTGAAGCTCAGGTCCTTGGATTTATATCAGCTATGCGAAGATACTCTGTGTGAAGGCCGGACAGGGCAAATAGCTAGTGGCAAGTGTTATTGGGGTTTGAGGTTGGGGTTCTTTGGTTTGGCAGTTTCGGCGCCCACACTCGGACAATCCAAGTGTTTGGGAGTTTAGGGTTTATGGGTTTGGGGTTTAATGTGTGGCAGCTCATCATACCCATTCTAATATTCTAATATATAATTTATTTTTTATATATTGGAATTAGAATGGGTATGATGAGCTGCCACACTAGTGGACTACAAACAAGGAATGCTTCGGAATGCTTCGTTTGGGAGTTTAGGGTTTATGGGTTTGGGGTTTAATGTGTGGCAGCTCATCATACCCATTCTAATAATTCTAATATATAAATTATAATTTATATATTGGAATTAGAATGGGTATGATGAGCTGCCACACTAGTGGACTACAAACAAGGAATGCTTCGGAATGCTTCGTTTGGGAGTTTAGGGTTTATGGGTTTGGGGTTTAATGTGTGGCAGCTCATCATACCCATTCTAATAATTCTAATATAAATAAATTGTAATTTATATATTGGAATTAGAATGGGTATGATGAGCTGCCACACTAGTGGACTACAAACAAGGAATGCTTCGGAATGCTTCGTTTGGGAGTTTAGGGTTTATGGGTTTGGGGGTTTAATGTGTGGCAGCTCATCATACCCATTCTAATAATTCTAATATAAATAAATTGTAATTTATATATTGGAATTAGAATGGGTATGATGTGCTGCCACACTAGTGGACTACAAACAAGGAATGCTTCGGAATGCTTCGCATTGACGTCAACAAAGCTTGTAACAATTGAGTTGGTGCTGATCTTCGGCCCATTGCATACCATGTAGCTCCTTTACCAGTGCACTGAAGAACGTGCCGGGCCATTGGTCCCAGCTCATCGACACGACCTGCGGGGGAAGTACCATCTAGTAGAGCAATTAGTATAAGCACGGCCATCTCATAATGTCATGCGATTTTTGCACACGGAGCAGCGGCAGACTGCATGCGATGCACAGAAGCTTCTAAAAGCCGGTCCGTTCCAGCAGTCGGGAGGGCCTTGTCCAAAAACACTTGCTCCATAGAGCAATCCGTCATGACCATGCCCATTGGATGCCATCATCCGATCACGTATTCATGGTTAGAGCTATAGCACAGGACCTACAGCACTGTCCCTATATGTACATGTTTATGTGACAATGTATGGTCTGGGCAACCATGGCCACATGGCACGATCATGATCGCCAGGCGGCTGCGAAGATCTGGATCACTTCTTCTTGCTGCCCTTGGCTTTCGCCTTTCCCTTCGCCTTCGCTTTCGGTGCAGCCTCGGATGCAGGATGAGGGGCATGGTAATGTACCGTATAAATAATAAGCTCGAAGCTGATTGCTGGGACAATCTGTTGGGGTGGCTCCTTCGAGATGATTCCTTATTGAGGGTGTGGCTTGGCATTAAGAAGGCTTTCATTAACTTCGGATATTAGTGAGAGGTGTGGGAGGATTGAGGGATCCGGGCTTTGATAAAGAAATGGCTTCAATGTACAGTATGTGATCCGGCTAGTTCCCGGTGATAGCAGTCGCTCAAGCATAGCCTTTATAGGCTCGACCCCGACCCTATAATTCCGCCCCCTCGCCTATAAACCACCCCGGATCACATCCCTTATAGTAATTCCTACTTACCCCCCCTATATGTATACACCGTAAACCCTCCAAACCCTAAATCCCTCCAAGTTCTACGGTCATTTGTTTATAAAAGTATAATTTTAAATGCCTATGATATAATCGTATATATTTCAGTAGAACCACACATGTGTGCTACCAAAGTGGTGTTACGATGATGGTTACTTAAGATATACTAAAAGACATATGGCATATGGGATATGTAATCTTTTTTGTCCTAGCACATGTGGGATACCCTCGCTCCGAATGCTAGTATTTTTACTTTCTACGGAACATAGCTATAGTGAGGTTACCGAACCGTGGGCCTGATGGTTACGGAAAACTAGTACTACTTTGGATTTCAAATAAAGCACTTCTCGATAACATTGTGGCGCCAAACAATCTTTGGTAAACCTTTCAATGAACACATTCTCGTGATGTTACACTAGTGGCTTCCACATGCGATCGTGTGGATAAGTATCCTGGGCTGTGTCTTGGCAATAACGACAGCAAAGAAACAATCAGCTTCCTGATTCCACCCGAAGCTTGCCCGTAATCGCTGATGCCCTGAACCAACTCGTCAAGGTTGTCCTGCAACTTCGACCCGTCGCCTTCGTCCAGCTCCTTCTGCAACAGCTGAATCTTCAGCTGCAGGCCCTCTACATGGGCTTTGAGCTCACCGGTGTAGGCACCTTTCACGGCAGCCGGCCTCGATATGGTAGAGTCGAGATTCGAGGGAGAGTGCACACTAGAACAAAGTGCAGGGGGTTATTGCACCCTTAGGGTTTAGGTTGGCATGAGGCTTTTATGGGTTATGCTGTGATCTTCCAGTTGAGACGTGGTACATCTGCTCATAATTTGTCATTTCCTCGACCAGCACATCCACGTCCGCGATCTTTTCGTTCGCGACCTTGATCTTGCCCTCGCATTTGTTCACAAGGGCCTTCGGCTTCTTCACGATCGGCAACTGTGTGTTGCCCAAGGATGCACCCAACTCCTCCTGCCCCGGAAGCGGAGTCCCACACGGCAATGCCATCATCGGAGGAGCAGCTGCAGCCCCTGGCGCCGCTGATCCCGTGCTCGAGCCGGCCGCTGCCAAGAGCCCCCGCACCATCTCTGGCCTTACTTTAGGGTTGATTAGGGTTGGCTTGGTATTAATTAGGGATTATTGAACGGAAGGGCATCTTAAGATGTAGGGATGCTTTTGGTTGTTTCTGGTTTTGGCTTAGCTCAAACAAACCATAGATATTGATACAAGATCTTGTATCAATATCTATGGTTTGTTTGAGCTAAGCCAAAACCAGACAGATTATGTGTGGTTTCGGATATCGTGTATATATATATATATATATGTATATTATCCCACTAGTCCCTATTAGCAATGCGAAGCTAAAGTAGTCTAGGAATTAGTGCACATGGCTGCTTGCAATATAGGCACAACAACACAGCTGCCCCTGCTGCATCCAGATTCATCTCGGAGTTAGTCCCGGTCGTGACCTTGTGCTTGTCCACCTTCTCGATGGCCGCAGAGTCCCACACCCGCAAGAGGTCCCACTCCTGCATAGGTTCGAAGGTAGAGATTGGCAAAGTCTATGTTGATTCTATGCTTCCCATTATATGAAGATAGATAAGTACTGTATGGAAAACCCCTGTAATGTCAAGCAACTCGATCACACTTATCCCCCCAAATTCGTGTGTGTGTTTTTTTCAGAACCCTCCGCCTGGTTTCCAGGGAGTTCGGGATGGGGGAGCCAAAACGGATCCTCATCGCTGTTCTTTGGGAGCAGGCTTTGGAGCCTCTTTTTTTCGTGATAGATCTCAAGGGCTTCGTCTTTTCCTTCCTTTTTGATAAGGTCCTTGAGCTTGATGTACACTTCACGCCCTATCTTTGACTTAGACACAGTCTGTGACGTTTGCATGAACGCCGTCGTCTGTGTCCAGTCTCCCTGGTTGGATACCCAATCCGCGAACAAGTTCTCGATCGTTCGGCTGCCTTGCTAGCCCAGAGTAACATTAGCATAGGTTGGTATTGGGGTGCACAGCCAAGGAACTCAGCTTATTGGGGTATAGTATGGTGGTATGGTACTATGCTGCTACAGGGCCTGCACACTGAACCATATTGTTAGGGATATGTCATTATTTCCGATAAGGTGCTTGCCGGGAGTTAAGGCTGGTGTAAAATATAGACATAAGACTTAATGTTTTCCCTTGTGCTAACCCAGAGTAACTTTAGCACAGATTGGTATCGGGGTACACAGCCGAGGAACTCAGCTTATGTGGGTATCGTTGGGCTCTATATGCTGCTATAGGGCCTGCACCTGGTCGTGAGGTTTAGGGTTATGCCATTATTTAAGATAAGGTGTTCTCCTGGAGATAGGGGCTGGTGTTAAAGTAAATTATTAGGCAATAACATAGTGTTTTCGTAGTGCTCCCCAAGGAGCCGCGACGAGCCTTCTGCGACATCTCTGCCACCGACGGCGGGCAGTTCGGACCTTGTTTATGGATTCTACAATCACGAATGCAAAAAGCTAAGAATAAGAATACATACCGGCTAATGTACGTGTAACACATAATCATGCATATAAAGCGAACTATGCAAATAAACTTTTGCATATGTGCATCTGTAGATATATAAGGATATGGTATGTCATGTATGCACACATATAAGTATATACACAAAAACATACATGCATCGCACATATAGTCTCTTGGTATTTATTTGCATGCTTAGACATATACACACGTCATTTTTCACATGGATCCACTGTATACATGCACATATTGAATGACCATATCGTTCTATCCTGCGATCGGGCCCTGGTCTGCTTGCATATTTTAACCCCTACTACTACTACGAGAGATAGCAGGCGGAACATCGAGAGAGAGCTGTTGCTATCTGCGGCTAGAGTTACTCTTCAGGGACTTCATGCAGCGAACATACAGGTTGTGGGCCAACCTGCAGTCCCGGTCGTGCTCCGTCTCGCCCGGCTTCAGCGCCATAACCCCCTCCTTCCGGGCTATGCTATTACAACTGAATAGAAAAAAGGAAACAATCGCAAAAGCTGTCTCCTTGAACTCAAACTGGTGCAGAAGCTGCGGGTTCTCCACAGCGAATCGCACAGCACCTGATGTCGCCTGCTTGGGCTTTGACTTCGCACCGTCAGCATCCTCATCAGCAACCACCATCAGCTGCTTCTCTTCGGAATTCGAGCTCTGCTCCACCTGCTCGGACATCACAGCGATCTTCTCGGGGTTCTGCTCGGACATGACAGGGGCCACGGCGCCAGGCTGCTCAATGATCTTCTCGATGGCCTTCTGCTCGGACCCAGCCGCCCCACCAGGCTGCTGCTCAGTGATCTTCTCGATGGCCTTCTGCTCGGACCCAGCCGCCCCACCAGGCTGCTGCTCAGTGATCTTCTCGATGGCCTTCTGCTCGGACCCCACAGGAGCCCCACCAGACTGCTGCTCAGTGATCTTCTCGATGGCCTTCTGCTCGGACCCCACAGGAGCCCCACCACCAGGCTGCTGCTCAGCGATCTTCTCGATGGCCTTCTGCTCGGACCCCACAGGAGCCACACCACCAGGCTGCTGCTCAGCGATCTTCTCGATGGCCTTCTGCTCGGACCCCAGGGTAGCCACACCACCAGGCTGCTGCTCAGCGACCTTCTCGAAAGCCTTCTGCTCGGACCCCACAGGAGCCACACCACCAGGCTGCTGCTCAGCGATCTTCTCGAAAGCCTTCTGCTCGGACCCCACAGGAGCCACACCACCAGGCTGCTCAGCGATCTTCTCGAAAGCCTTCTGCTCGGACCCCAGGGTAGCCACACCACCAAGCGGCTGCTCAGCGATCTCCTTGAAAGCCTTCTGCTCAGCGATCGGCGGCTCTGTGATCATCTGCGTGGCCTCCAAACTACTACTCGGATCAGGAGCCTCCTCGTCGAGCTCCATGAGTGTGGCAAGCTCCGTCGGCTGTCCATTCAGCATATCCACATCCCCATCTGCTGGCATTGTGTCCTTCCAGGCGATTGAAAAAAATCCATTAGTATAAGAATCTATCTGGGTCTGTGTTCTTACAACCCCAACTACTAATAGTCTGGAAACCTGGTCTTGAAAAACATACAGATAGCTCCTCGGAGCTCTTCTGCTCCGGCCCTGCCTCTTGCTGGGTCTCCTCGTGCCCAAGTGAGAATCCCACATGCTTGTATGTACATATGCACATACATACACACATACATATATATGAAGATCAGATGCAGAATCTGCAATTACAGTTCTTGATAGTAATATGTGTGTGTGTACATGTGTATATGTATGTATACCTGGCACCACAGCTCTACTGTATTGTACACCAGCATATGCACACACATATACATTATATATGCATACATGCACACACATATGTATGTGTATGTATTTATATACACACGTAGTTCTGTGCCTATAATTATTATAAGCGAGAGAGATCTAGGGAGAGACAGAGAGAGAGAGAGTGTGTGTGTGTGTTTTCGTGCACAGACAGCGAACATAAAAAGTTAATAAGCTACCGTAGTTATACTATCGCCGCCACCACCACCACACACCACCAAAGCCGCAAAAATCAACTACTACTCCTGCTGCTGCTACTACTATTACCACGATTACTGCAACTACTACCATTACTATATATATATATGTATGTATATGTTGATATATATGTACATGCATATATACACATACACATAAATACATATATACATATGTACATATATACATGTATACACATATATATATATATATATGTAGATATACATACATATATATATACATATATATATATATCTTCATCATCCTCATCATCACCATCAAACTTACTAGCTGTGTACAAAACCTGAGGTATTAATCTACATATGAGCTCATACATGGCATCTAAAATAACATATACACGTACACATGCGTAAAACTTCCCCGAAGCTTCAACACATATTCATAATAAGCTTTGAAGGCCAGCCTCAACGGAACCAGCTGCCACACCCGGGCTGCCAAACAGCTTCACCTTCTTGTGAAAAGGGGATTTGATAGGTGTGCTCGCAGTCGACTTGATCGGCGTACTCTGGGTGGGCCTGATTTTTGCCGGCGAAAGGTGGCTCGAACCGTAGCTCTTATCCAAGAAGTCCGACACCAGAGCAGCAGCAGCAGGCTTTGTCATAAACTGCGAGATCGGCATTTGCGGCTGCTTGGGAATCGATGCATCGTCCTTCGGCTCCACCTCCTTTGCCGCCTTCTTCTGGGTCTCCTTCGGCTTCGTTTCCTTTTTTACAGGTGCCGTTGCCTTCTTCGCAGCCGCCTTCACACGTGGGGCTGCCTTGGGCTCCCCTGAGCCCCCAGTATCTGCCGAGATACCTCGGCTTAGACACTAAGTTCTCGCATAAAGGATAGTCATACATATTTGTTTGACTTAACTGGTATATACACAGATACCTGTGTACACTTGTTACCGATATGTGTGAACCTCATATACATATGCTGACACATACACATACATCGTTCATATACATGTATACACATACATATATGTATTTATTCATGTGTGTGTCTTTAATAATGTGCATGCATGCGTACAATATCATGTCTCTGACGCATACGGATTGACATCGACTAGGCGCCGAGGCCTTGCATGGCCTTCTCCACTTCAGCAGCCACTTTCTTCGTGCCCTGAACCAGGGACATATACTAGACTAGAACGGCTAGAACAAGCCACACGGATAGCACAACTCAAGCCATGCATAGAGGAGCCTTCGGGGGCATAGCTGATGAGGGGCAAAAGCAAGCTAGCTCGCACTGCCCACAATTTCAAGCAAAAGAATCACTGCAACGGTCAGGTTCTGCGATGATCAATCAGTTGCAATGCATCACTGATCATGATAGTTTAGGGATTGGCTCTGGCTCATACAATGCCGTTGGGGGCTGCACCATAGTTGCAACACATCTCGGCCCTCCTATACTGCTGAGGATAGCTTATAAGGGTTATTGGGGGATATTTTGGGTTATATGTGAGCTCTGGTACACTTTGGGGGGTTATTAGGGGTTAGTGGGGGTTATTGGGCTTGTTGTGTGGTATGGATACCAGAATCCAGAGGGTTATTCAGGGATATTTGGGTTGATATGTTAGCTCTGGGAGACTTTGGGGGGTTAGTGGGGGTTAGTGGGGTTTAGTGGCGTTTTTGGTGTGTTTTTGCTACAAGAATGAAGAGGGTTATTCAGGGATATTTGGGTTGATATGTTAGCTCTGGGAGACTTTGGGGGGTTAGTGGGGGTTAGTGGGGTTTAGTGGCTTTTTTGGTGTGTTTTGGCTACAAGAATGAAGAGGGTTATTCAGGGATATTTGGGTTGATATGTTAGCTCTGGGAGACTTTGGGGGGTTATTCGGGTTTAGTGGGGGTTAGTTGGATGGGCTCCTGGGCTGTGGTTTTACCAGGAATATTCGGACTAGCTGCCATGATTTCCTGGTATTGCAAGCATTGATTCGGTTTAAGGTTCGGGGCTGGTGTCAGATCACAACGATTGTTCGCTAGGCGGATCTTAACTTTCTCAAACAACCTCGCATTTGAAACAGATCTCTAGGTCTTCTGAATTGGCGGCCAGGCATGAATTTGGCCGAGCATCAGCAGCCCCCCATCTCGCAGCAACTGCAATCACGGAAACCGTACATGTATGTTATTTTATGACATTGACACCTGAGAACTACCCGGTCTCTGCCAGCTCCCTTGAGCGAGGGGTGTCGGAGTAGCACCACTCCTGAATTAAATCTAATTTGCTTGTAAAACAGCCACGGTTGTCATCATCCAGGCTGGCGATCGGCGATCGGGCGCACGGCGGGCCCTGGCTCCCATCCTTCGGGTTATAGCTTTATTATTACACGACGTAGAGCTGATATAGGGGTGGGGGGGTATTGTGAAGCTGCCTGGTTGATGTTCTAACAATTAGGATAACTAGCGGGCACAGATACCTCCTGGTCAACTCAACGCCCACCCAGCTTTGTTCTTTCGGAATAATGAGGGCCAAAGAACAATACTGTTATCAAGTGCTGAACTACGGTTGCTATACTCCATCAAGCTAAGCTGTAACACTACATCAGCTTGGGGCGTCTGGTTCAGGGGGTATTATGTGAGGTCCAGCTTTGTATGGGGCCCTAGAATATCTGCGTTTGCGATTGGGGGGGAAAGACCTATATTCAGGGTACTGCCAGGAGACACCTAGTCGAGCTTCACGAAATGCTTGAAACTTGAAGCACCTGTCCCAGGTAATACGAATCACAGATGAGGGCCTACACTGGTTCTATTGATTCCTGCATCGGTTCTTGGGACATATCGGCTATGCTCCGGCCACATAGCTTCCCTAATGCCCCCCAACCAGAACCCTAAGGCATAGGTCCTACGGATAGGGTTCATATACATATGTATATGTATATATGCAGTACATATGTAAGCCACAGATAGATTCGCAATAAAGTACTACCTCCGATCCATTGCATGTAGGTCGACTGCCATAAAACCACATAACTCTATATCTATATCTATATCTATATCTATATATATACATATATATATATACTAATATACCCACATGAACAACATAAGCATTATAAACCCACTAGCTTATAAGATAGGAGAAATATATCAACTAGCACAGGCTTTTTCTTCGGTACGGTCGAACCGACATTTAGGGATCCAGGTTTCACGATCTCGGAGGTATTTATCGTGTAGACCCGAACACCAAACCCTTCTTGTCTTATAAGACACCAAATGTAATGTGGCAAATATGTGTTTCGTTCTAGGTCAACCACTTGGATCAATAACCCTTAATGATTCTGCTTCCGAAGCTACAATTGCAGGTGTCCCCAGCTCGCGAACAAGCCCGAGAGGTGGTGTCAAGCTAGCCAAACCCCGCCGGCAAATGTTATCCGCCTTCTGTTATCTAGAACTAGAACAGCAACACCGCCGCAGCAATAGCCTCCTGAATCGCCCTAGACTCCACATCATCACAAAGGTAGTATATACAACAGACCCTACACCCCGTGACCCCATCGAACGAATGGCCTCTGAGTCATCTCAGGACTCCCCAGCCGCGGCGGCGGGCGCTTCGGCGGCAGCGGCGGGCAATGCTTCCTTGGAACGAATCATACAAGTAAGTCATACTATCCAGGCTGTATAGGTGTTGTATCTATAGTTTTTGTTTTAGTGATTTAGGATTAGGGAGCTAGGGGGTTGCCCTCATAATTAGGGTAACTCTACGATTTGTACGAATCACCATGTAAGCTCGAAAAGGTGATGCAGTTACATTGCTTGGCAGCGGTGCAAGGTCTAGCACGACCTAGAGTTTTGTGCTACGGTAGAGACAATGCTAACTATCTTTCTAGTCATCGGTATACAACCGACTCCTATCATACTATCTAGCTATCTAATATCGATCTATATCTCTATCTGTATATATATATATATATATATATATACAATACCTTTGCTGATCTTACCCAAGAGCTTGGGATCTCTTTCTAGATCACCTTGCTAGCGATATATACATCTATATATATACATGTACATAGATAATGTATATAAATTTAAAGTCCATATATATATAGAGAGAGAGAGAGAACTAATAACTAGGTATACGTATATACACTCGTACATGCGATATGATGGTAAAGGTTCGGCTCGTAGATAGAAAGTGCGTACATATTTATATACACGGTATATTAAATCTCAATACAACATATATATATATATACACATATGCAATATGATCAGTACATCATTCGAAATACATAAATACGTGTACACATATCCCTAAGGCTCCATGTAGCCATATAGTACACACGTTGCCCCCAAAGTACCTATATAGGAACCCCTTTAAGGCCTAAGTATATACTATATGGCTACATGGAGCCTTAGTATATGTACGAATACAAATTTCTATACGTATCATGAAGACTGGGTTTGTGAGGCGAA